CCTTGGTCTCTTCCTGGGAGCTTATTCCTCCTGACACCTTAGGGTCATTTAATAGCTTCTGATGCCTTTGGTAGGGCTGGCACCGACCTCTACTGTATAGACAATGAGTCATCATATTAATTTGTCCCAGATGAAGGGAAAGGGAAGAGATAGTACACCAGGAAAAGTTGTTGCACATTCTAGGCTTAACACACAACCTGTTTGAACTCAGTAGTAGGAGGTGGTTGTATAGTTAGGGTCTAATTAGTACTGGGTTTGAATCCAGACTTTGCTCAGCTCTGTCACCTATAAACTGAATGCAGAATTCTCTGGTCATTTCATTGAATACTTGTTTTATCAGTAAGGTGCGTAGACATTTTATTTCATCTTAAGAGTCTTGCGCCTGCCTGAAAAACCGCATTTGAGTGCTAGGAGTGACAGCACACTAACAAAAGGGTTTTTCTGTAGTGTTAGAGCTAGCCAGCATGTCTCACACAAACCTACTCACCTTCTCTGTTGGTACACGTGTTAGACTGATACTGGAGGCCATGATTGTTTTATGTTCTTTATGTTTGATACATATCCCAAGCTTAGAAATAGATATATTACTATAAATGACTCTCAGAACCCTGAGGAAGCCCTGGTCTGCTGGGTGGGTTGGGACGAACAGATTGTTGATAACCTAGTTGCTTGGTAGCTTATCTGTGAGTGTTCCAGGACCAGTCTTGATTTCCTTCTTCTTCTCCATGTAGGAAGCACCGAAGAGCAAGAGACCGGTCTAGGTCCTCCTCTTCCTCCTCCCAGTCGTCTCACTCCTACAAAGCAGAGGAGTACCCCGAGGAAGCAGAGGAGAGGGAGGAAAGCACTACGGGTTTTGACAAATCCAGACTGGGGACCAAAGACTTCGTGGGTCCAAATGAAAGAGGCGGCAGAGCTCGGGGAACTTTTGTAAGGGCCTCCCTCCCTCTTTCTGTCTGTGTGTCTCTGTGTGTACTCCCTTGAGTGTCTATTAGGATCAAAGAATCGAGGAAAGAAATGGATAGAAACTAGTTTAACTACTTGTGATAGTTTTCTATTCCCTGTCAGGAAAGTGTTTTAACAGGGTGAAGGGATTTTTTTTTACTGCTGACGTGGACCTTGTTCCTTTTGCTTCATTATTTCTACAGCAATTTCGAGCAAGAGGAAGAGGTTGGGGCAGAGGAAACTATTCTGGTAACAATAACAACAACAGCAACAATGATTTTCAAAAGAGAAACCGGGAAGAAGAATGGGATCCAGAGTACACACCCAAAAGCAAGAAATATTACTTGGTAAGTGTCTGGGACTAACCAGGAAGGGCCAGAGAGCCTTTGACACACAGTAGCTTTGAAGACTTTAATTGGGCTATCTGATCTTGTTAAATTTGTGTACAGGATTAGAGAACTGTGAATGTGTTAGTATAGTACTAGCTAGATGGCTCTTCTCTGGAAAGATAAGTCAGTTTTGGCTCCGATGTGGTTTATCTTCTGAGCTGTTTATAGATTCCAGAATAAGCAAGAAATGTTACATTTGCCTTTCTTCTGACTTTGACTCCTGACTCACTCCCAGCCTGTCACTTTTTACTACTAGATTGACAGGAAAAGCAACTCTAGAACTGTTTCAGGAAAGAAAAAGATCATTGCCATAATGAAATGCCACTGAGGTTTTTCTTTTACCTATGTATGAGTCGTTCCATGCTCCTCTGGCTGTTACCTAGTCAGTAACTTTCTTGGCCTTGCTGTGATTCAGCAAGCCTGTGTAATTCCTGGGCATTGTGTCTAACTGTTGGGAGCTTATTTGAAGCTTCTAGAAGGCCCTTCTCTGCTTCTGTTTGCCACCTGAGGAAGTGTTGCCAATCTGATCTGGTTATTGTGGCACTGCAGCCTTGTACAGAAGCAGCTAGCAGTCAGCCACACTGACTTCAGGAACCTAGCCTGGCTTAGAATGGCTTCTGTGCGTGGATCGCTGAAACTGAAGTAATTGTAATCATTAAACAGAAGAAGTTGCTACTGTCACTCTTCTTCAAAATGCTTCCGTCTTTTGTTATATATTTCTGCTATGGAGACTGTCAGAACAGGGATTGTTCAAGATGTAGGCTGTTTTTCCTCCTGTGTGCTATAAGAGGGCAGCCTGGGATAGGAGGTTTGGAAAGTGCTGGAGCCCTGGTTTATCTAATGGCAAGGTCCCATTTCACATGTTAGAGTTCCTTCCTTTGAGAAATGGTGTTCTAGGGCTGGAGAGATGGCTCAGCAGTTAAGAGCACTGACTACTCTTCCAGAGGACCCGGGTTCAATTTTCAACACACACACAAGGATCTCACAACTGTTTGTAACTTCAGTTTCAGATCTCACTCACACAGACATACATGAAAGCTTAAAACGCTGGTTGATGCATATAAAAGTTGGATAATTTTTAGAGAGAGAAATGGTGTTCTAAATAATACTAGTTTCATTTATACAGTAGTGCTGGCCTCTAATTCAACAACAGAGACCCTCCTGCCTCTCCCTTCAGAGTGCTGGGATTAAAGGTGTGCACCATCACCACCTGGCCTTTTTTCCCCCTCATTGTCTATATAGCATTCTACCTGCATGTATGCCTGCACGCCAGAAGAGGGCAACAGATCCCACTATAGATGGTTGTGAACTACCACGTTGTTGCTGGAAATTGAACTCAGGACCTATGGAAGAGCAATCTCTGAGCCATCTCTCCAGCCCCTAAGCTGATGCTTTTGTCTTTGTGCTTTGTCAAGATGTTCTATTACTCAACACTGTTGTTGTAATGTCCACATTATTGCCTTAGAGTTCGTTAGGTACCCAGTGGTACTCTTAGATTTGTGCCTGTGGCAGTTTTGGAATAGAATGGGTGCAGGGCAGCAAAGTGTGCATTACAGAGAAGAGAGCGCTAGCACTGATGCCAATTCTCTTTCCTCGAAGCATGATGACCGGGAAGGTGAAGGCAGTGACAAGTGGATGAGCCGAGGCCGTGGCCGTGGAGCCTTCCCCCGGGGTCGGGGCCGGTTCATGTTCCGGAAATCCAGTACCAGTCCCAAGTGGGCCCACGACAAGTTCAGTGGAGAGGAAGGAGAAATTGAAGATGATGAGAGTGGGACAGAGAACCGAGAAGAGAAGGACAGTCTACAGCCCACAGCTGAGTAAGGGCCACTCTTGATGGAGCCCTTCCTTGCCCAGGGGAGAAAGGCACTGGGAGAGGCTGGTGGAGCTCAACAGGGAGCCTCAAGAAGATCCTGCAAATCCCACCCCACAACCCACCAGCTACACGGAACCCACAGCAGCAGAGTACACATCCCTGGTGCTGTCCCACTGCACAGAGGACACTGGCCACAGAGCCTGGGATCAGGCCCATGTTTTGAGCAGACCATAACACACTGGGCTCCCGCTGTTTGTTGTTTGTTGTTGGTGTGGGGTGGGGGCAGGGTAGGGAGAATGATGCTGATGCTTGGATTTTTTTTTTTTTCCCCCTCTTTTTTTTTTCTTTTTCCCCCCTATGAGAAACCAAGTTTTCTTCATTTGGAGCTAAGAGAATGAACTTGGTTTTCAACCTTTTCCTGTCCTGATTTTAAAAAAAAAAAAAAAAACCGTATATTTTTCTTTGCTTTTTTTCTTCTCCTTTTTAATGGATATGTAGTAATATTAGCAGAAAGATTTAATTTGGGCAACTTTGATTCTTAAAAGAAAGCATGTGAATAAACATTGAAGTGTTCGCCTCAGTTTGGGACCAAACTGCTTGGATCTTTGTAAAAACCGGTTTTGTATGTCACGGAGGAGTTTAAGGCCTTTCTGACCACCTTGTGTTCCCCTTTCTGCACAGCCATGTGTCACATGGAGTTGCTCCCAGCCTCCCCATGCTGCACCCTGCTCTTGTCTGATTTCTCCTGGGCTGGCCTTCTCATTTTCCACCAGCAGCTCCGGTATCCTAAACTTTATAGTCCTGCTGGTCCTCAGCAGAAGGAATGGAAACTGGAGGGCAGTTTCTGGTCTGTTTTCTAAGAGACTTCTGAATTCTATTATCTTTACAAATAGAAGATGAGAAAATAATTTTTCAATATTTTTTATTGATCTTTTTATAAAATGAAAAGAAACTCCTATGATCGATTAAGGATGGTGGTTATGGCTGGGTGGTTTCTGGGGTTGTGGGTTTGTGTTTTCTTTAACCTTACGTTTTGAGTTGAAACATTTTCAGATGTTTGGGGGGGCATTCTCATAAAAGGGTCCTTGTGCTTGCCTTCCAGGGAGGGGGTCCCGAGCAGGTGAACCGCGACGACATTTGTTGCATATATCCTATGCCGACTACACCTTCCTCATCCCCTAGCCTTTGCTCTTGGGTTGTTGCTACTTCATCTTACTTTGCTAATTTCTATAGTTAAGTTGGTTTTACTTGAATGATTCATGTTTAGGGAAGAAGAAAAAAAAAAACACCCTTAAGTTTTTGTTTCAACTCCTCCTGCAAATAAAAACAATAAAAGAAGTGACAGATGTAAATGGACTGTGTTCGCTGTCCTCCTCACCCTGGGGTGGTAGGTACCTCCCACAGAAGTTTCAGGAAACCTACACACAGCTGTGCTCTTCCTTCTCTGGGAAGAGGTACCTCTTGTTCTCAGTGGAGTCCCTGCAGTCTCTGCTTTTAATATCCCAGTACCAGCTATAGTGCAATGAGCAAGGACTTTGGTGTCCTTCGTGGTGAGGCAGGGGTCAAGGCTGCAGTCAAGCAGCTTGGCCTTCACAGCATGTAGATTATTTATGGTCTAACCAAGCCCAGCTGGTAGCCTAGTGGTGGGTGGCCCCTAACCTTCAGACTCTTGCCAGCCCTGGGCTTGAATAGGCTTACTAAGGTTCTTCCTGCCTTCGCTCAAGGAGAATCTGTAATAACTCAGAAACCCAACCAGGCCCTCAAATGAATCAAAGCTCCCACCAGTGGGGTTTTGAAGCTGAGAATACACCAGTAGTCCACAGCTTTTCAGAGATAAGAGCCACCACTTTCTCCTGGGGTTCTTTCTCTGGAATGGCCCCGCCCTGGTATGTACCTCTCTCCACCTTCCCCTGCAGCTAAGAACTTGGCGAGCCAGTAGAGGGTGGGCCAGGAAATATATAAAAGACGGCAAGTCTGGTCTAGGTTGGGAGACTTAGCCAAAGTAAAGTTTAGTAGTCTCAGAAGAGCACTTGGAGGAGCTGTTACCCTAGCACTGAGTTGAGACCCTAGATGAAGACTTGTCCTGGAATTGGGGCTCAACCTGCTGAGCCAGGCCGCCCACTCCTAGCACCTGGATCCTGACCTATGACTTGAGTCCCCGCCTCATCCAGTCTACAACCCAGCTACCCCGGCCCGCCCACCGCTCTCCCAATACTCAACCATCAGCCGGACCGCCAGGCTGTGCAGGGGTCCTCAGAAGTTATGGGTATGTGTGCGGACCTCGGGGTGGCTCTTCTGGATGCCAGGGACGTCCCTCCAGCCTTTCTTAGCCTGCCCTCTGCCTGCAGAGGTCCTGGCCCTGGCCAGATATCGTGCGCAGACGGAGGACGAACTGAGCCTGGCGCCGGGGGACGTGGTCCGGGAGGTTTGTGCCGGGGAAGCCCAGGGCTGGCTACATGGGGATCTACGGGGCCGCCGCGGTCTCTTTCCCAAGAACCTGGTGCAGGTGAGACCTGGTACGGGTGAGACCGTGTGGGGAACAGGCCCGGCCCGTTTTGGGCCTTCTGTTGAGTACCGCCCCTGTGCGATCTTCCCAGGAGATTCCTGAGGCCCTGTGGGGCGTCACTGAGCCCAGACCGCGCTGTGCGCGCCGCCGCGGTGAGTCGGGCTCTGAGCTGGTTGGGGGAGCGTGACGACGGTGGGAGGGACCGCGACACTATGTGCAGCTCCCTGATTGGCTCCAAGTACAATGCTCCGCTAGAGGGCGGGGCTTGAGGCTATTAAAGGGCGTGCTTGGGGCCCCGCCCCTTCCCTAGTATTGTGGACAGGGCCACCTGCTCGAGCTGCTCCCCTGCTTGTCTGGCCTAGGTCACCCGGTCAACTCTCAGGACCCTCAAAGATGGTGCAAAGTGAACTTCAACTACAGTCCAGAGCAGACAGACGAGCTGAAGCTTCAAACTGGGGAGATTGTGGAAGTGATAAAGGAGGTGAGGGGATACGATGATTAGAGGACCTAGAGAGATGCTAGAGCTCTTCACAGACAGACAAGAATGAAGTGAGGTGGGGACGATGGGAAGGGAGCGGCAGGGGAGGAGGTGATTCTTGGGCAGAACCGAGGGTTGACATTCCAGTGACTCTTGGTCAGAATCAGATGCACCCACATCCTTCCCCCTCCCTAGATTGAGGACGGCTGGTGGCTGGGGAAGAAGAACGGGAAGTTGGGAGCCTTCCCATCCAACTTTGTGGAATTGCTGGACAGTGGGTCCCCAAGTGAGATCGTGACCCTGTGATCCCCTGGGACCAGACTCTGCAATCTTCAGTGATCTTCCTGACCCTGTTGATCCCTTTGGCCCTCTCCCAGGACCTAGCTAAATTAGCACCTCCCTTAACTTTATTGTCCCTCTCCAGGTCTTGGGAACACAGACATGCCTTCAGTCACCCCTAATCCACCGAGGCCTCCTAAGGTAACTTGGGTCAGGGTGGGCACAGCTAGCAAGTACTTAAAATGGCTTCAGACTCCTCTTATTCTTTCTTTGTTCTGCCCGTACTAGCTGAGCAACTTGACCTATGACAGCCCTCCAGACTACCTGCGAACAGGTGAGCATCTAGCCAAAGAGCCCCTCCCACAGGGCCCGGCCACACCCTGCCTTGTGGGAGGGGAACCAAGTGTTGGAGGGGGCCACTGGCTGATGGGAGAGGCTGCACAGAAGAATGCCCTTCTCTCAGTCTCCTGCCCTGAGACCTGCAGGGTCCTGTTTGACTACCATCCTGAGGCCCCGGATGAGCTGGCACTGCACAAGGGGGACCTGGTGAAAGTCTTGAGAAAGGTGTGAGGGTTAGGGGGTGCAGAAGGGTAAGGAAGGAATGGGGCCAAGGCAAGAGGGCCGTGAGCGAGGCTCACGTTTCTACTGGCTTCTTTCTCGATCAGACAACAGAAGATAAGGGCTGGTGGGAAGGAGAGTGCCGAGGCAGGAGGGGAGTGTTCCCAGACAACTTTGTGCTCCCCCCACCCCCGGTGAGTATCAGACCAGCCCCTGGGAGGGCAAGGGTAAGCAGGTGCCTGAGGATGAGGCCAGCCTGGACTACAGAGCATGTTCAGGGTAGCCAGGACCACACAGAGAAACCCTGACTCAAGTAATAGGAAAAAGAAAAGTCGGAGTGCATGGCATTGGCCAGATCACTACGTAAAGGGACACAGAACTCTCTAAAAACACCCAGGGATAAGCCGAGAGGATGTGGCTCAGGCTTAAAGTATTTGTTCCGATCACTAGAACCCGTGTAAATGGCAAGTGGGCATGGCGGTCCCTCTGTGTTTCCAGCCTCGGGAAGGTAGAGAGACAGAACCAACCATATTGTTGAGCTCTGTGTTTGATTGAGAAACTCTACCTTAATGAATTAGGTAGAGCCAGGCCACAGTGGTGGGGACACACCTTTAATCCCAGCATTTTACAGACACACACACATACACACAGCAAAACAAAACAAAAAAACCTAACAGGCATTATGGGATTCCTTGAACCCAGCTAGACCTAGAAGTTTTAGGATTTCTCCTTGGATTCTCATATATTTTTTTCCTCCAGATCAGGAAGCTGATCCCACGAAAAATTATATCTCGGGATATATCAGGTGAGTGCCTGGGAGCATGGGGTTGAGGGCTGTTCTATGGGAGATCCACCCATTTCTAGTTGTCCATTTGTAGTTCCCTACTGGCTCAATACACCATAGAAACATCCTCCCCAGAAGAGGGAGGGGAAGGATCCAGGCCCTTGTAAGAACTGTGAATCCTGTGTGAGTCGGGTTGTGTTTGTACGCTAATGTTTCTGCGTGGTTCTTAACATGATGACTAACTATCACATAGCCCTGTGTGGTGTCTATTGGTGGTGGTGTTAAGGATCAAACCCAGAGCTTTGCACAAACTCCCAAGTGTTCTACCATTGAGCTATAACACAACCCTAGATCTATGCTTAAAAGACTTTATCGTTAAAGATAAATTCTGGAGGGCAGAGATGTCTCAGTGAGTAAACTGCTTGCTCTTGAGATTAAAGGCAGCTATAGAGAGAGACACAAGATGGGGAGAAAGAGACATTACCCAAATGCCTACAAGATATGGGATGTGGCCCCCTCATAGAGACATGGAAATGACTTTCAAAGCCTCAAGAGAAGCAGGGAATTTTAGCCTTTCAACAGGAAGCTATCATTCCTAACTCTGAGAGGATATAAGAAAATGTTGGCTAGGTGGTGATGGCTCACTCCTTTAATCCCAGCACTCAGGAGGCAGAGGCAGGTGGATCTCTGAGTTCAAGACTAGCCTTGTCTACAAAGTGAGTTCCAGGACAGGCTCCAAAGCTACACAAAGAAACCCTGTCTCCAAAAACAAGCAAACAAACAAACAAAAATCACAAATAATAAAAAAGTAAATAGTAAAAAAGAAGGGCAGGAATGTCATAGTCAATTTCTGCTGAGGGGGTAGTTCTGGGTCCATCAAAGAGGGGTCCATTGCTCATGTAGCTGCATGTAGAATGGGCTGGCCTCGAACTCACAGAGATCCTGCCTGCCTCTGCCCCCTTAGTGCTGGGATTAAAGGCGTGTGCCACCAACTTTTGGAGGTCACCTGAACTGCATATAGGATCTCTGTAACTGCTGACAGAAGGTCGATGAGGGAAGCAGCAGTTAGAATACCTCAGAAGAGGGTCCATCCTAGGGGCCATGGTAAAACTTAACAGTTGGCACAAGAACACAAGTTAGGAGGACCAGTAAGGGACAAAGTTACTACACTGGGCGGTAGTGGCTCACAGACATCTATAATGAGATCTGGTGCCCTCTTCTGGCATGCAGGTGTACATGCAGGCAGGAAACTATACATAAAAAATAAATAAACCATTTTTATTTTTAAAAAAAATTAATAAATATTTTTTAAAAATTAAAGAACCCGGCAGTGGTGGCACACACCTTTAATCCTAGCCCTTGGGAGGCAGAGGTAGGAGGATCTCTGTGAGTTTAAGGCCAGCCTGGTCTACAAAGCAAGTTTCAGGACAGCCAGGACAGAGAAACCCTGCCTCGGGAAAGAAAAAAAAAAAGCTCCTCGAAACCTGTGCTGTCTGTCACTTTTGCTTGCATTCTTAAGTGCCTTTGGAGGTTGAGACAGTTGCTGCAAGTTTGACGTCGACCCAGTCTACATAGCTAGACTACAGGGCAATACTCTCCCTATCCAGAACCTCCCCTTCTCCCCCTCCCTCCCAAATATTAAGATTACAGGTACATGCCAACGTGCCTGATTGCAAATGGATGCTTTCCTCTTGCCCTCCTGCAGTATGTTTTCTCTGTCTCATTCTTTTTCTACCTAGGGTTGGTTTCGTTTATACTGAGGAACTGAACTCAGGACCTCTTGGCTGTTACATAACTACTCTGTCTATCAAGCCTGTATACTTAGGGATTTTATTGAAAATTGGCCCTGAATTTTCCCAAATTGTCTGTCTGAATCTTTTGAAAGGATTCTATGTTTTCCCACTAATTTACCGATTCTATGAATGAGATCGGTGTACGCATGTGTTTGTGTGTGATGCGGGTGCATGTGTGCCGTGGCGTGCGTGTGGAGGCTTGGATGGCAGTCCTCATCGTCAGTCTTGTTTGAGATCACATCACTCATTCTTCGAGGTCCTTTCTCCACCTTCCATCTTGATGTAGGAGTGCTGCTTTTTTTTTTTTTTTTTTTTTTTTTAACTTTCATTTATTCTTTTGTTTTGATTTTGTTTTTCAGGACAGGGTTTCTCTGTGTAGCTTTGGAGCCCCTCCTGGCACTTGCTCTGTAGATCAGGCGGGCCTTGAACTCAGGGAGACTATACCCCCCCCACACCCCCGCCTCAAAGGCATGTGCCACCACTGCCCGGCATAACTTTTATTTATTCTTTATTTGTGTTTGTATGTGTGTTTGCACGTGATATGGATGCTGGGAATTGAACCTAGGTCCTCTGCAAGAGCAGTAAGTACTCCTAACCACTAAGTTGTCTCTCCAGCCCCTAAGTCCTGGAGTTATGGATGCATTTGTGGGAGTTCTGGGTATCCAAATTCGGTCCTCACACTTGCATGGCAAGTGCTTTACCCACTAATCGTATCCCTAGTCCTCACGGATACAGGTGTGTGCCTGCATGTGCTTGTGTTCTCATGTGGTGTGTGCATTCGGAGATGAGGATGTACTCACCTATTTGTGCACATGTAGAGGCCAGAGGGTATCTTCTGCTGTCATTCTTTTTTTTCTTTTTGAGCAGAATAAACACAGTTTTATTAGTATTTATTAAGAAAAAGTGAGGAAAGAACTCAGGAGAATGGAAAAGGTATCATGGGAAGTACCCACCACCCTTGTTTTTGAGGGCAAGGTCTCTAGCACTTGGAGTTTGACAATTATGCTAGATTGACTAAGCAGTGAAGCCCAGGGATCCTGTCTCCACCTCCCAGCTCTGGGATCCCAAGTATGCACCACAATGCTTCAGCTTTTTATGTAGGCTGGGGATTTACAGCAGATCCTCATGCTTGCATAGCTGGCAAGCACATTGCTGGCTGGCTCTTTCTGTTGCTCTCCAACCTTTCTTCTTTCTCTTTTAAAACTTGTTATTTTGAAGCCAGGCAGTGTTGGCACACACCTTTAATCACAACACTCAGGAGGCAGAGGCAGGCAGATCTCTGAGTTTCAGATCAGCCTGGTCTACAGAGTGAATTCCAGGACAGCCAGAGCTATACAAAGAAACTCTGTATTGAAAAAAAAAGGCTAAGTTTTTATGTGTGTGGGTGTTTTGCCTGCATGCATGTCTGTGCAATACACATGTGCCCGGTGTCTGTGTAGGCTAGATGTGTAACTCTGGAACCAGAGTTACAGATGATTGTGAGCCTCCATGTAGATTCTGGTTATGGAACCCTGGTCCTCTGCAATGCAATGGCAGCCGGTGCTCCTAATCACTTAGTCATACCTCCAGCCCCACCACACTTTTATTTCAGTGCTGGAGGCCCAGGACTTTGTGCATGCTAGTCAAGTGCTCTGACATTGTGCTAGTCCTTGGCTTTTTGAGACAGGGTGTTACTACTTAGTCCAGGCTAACCTTGAACTCATGGCCCTCCTACCTCCTCCCAGCAAGTGTATGAAGAATCTCAGATTCTCTATCCTCACATCATTAGAACCGTGCTGGTGAACAGCAGGGTGTCTTGTGGTTTCTGGGACTTAATGATGTTGAGAAGCCTTTGTTTTGTTTTGTTTTGTTTTTGAGACTGGGTTTCTCTGTGTTGCCCTGGTTGCCCTGGAACTAGCTCTGTAGACCAGGGTGGCCCCCAAACTCACCCCCTGCCTCTGCCTCTCGAGTGCTGGGACTAAAGGTGTGTGCTGCCACCACCCAGCTTTTTGTGTGTTTACTGGCTCTGTGGGAACTTTCCAGTTGGGTTGTGTTCTTTACTATTGAGTTACAGGAGTTCTTTATGTTCTAGATGAAAGGCTAAACCTGGAGCTATAGCAGTGTGATAGAACACTTGTCTAGCAAGCATGAGGCAGGCCCTAGCCTCAACCCCTAGTACACTGAAAATGATGATGATAATGATAATAGTGATAAATAAAATAAGTATCATTTTGTAATTTTTTCCCCCTAACTTCATTTCATTGTCATTTTTTTTTTTTTAATGTGTGTGGGTATTTTGCCTGTCCACCACATGCATGCAGTACCTACAAAGGCCAGAAGAGGGCATTGGAGCCCCTGGAACTGGGGTTACAGATAGCTGTGCGCCACCCTGTAGAGACTGGGAATTGAAGCCCTGACCTTGGGAAGAGCAGCAGCCACAGCTCTTACCTGCTGGGCTATCTCTTCAGCCCCAGTCATCTCATCCTTTGATGAACAGAGCTTTACAGAGCTTTGTGTTTCGATGAAGTACCATTCATCTACTCTTGGGTTGGTTGTGTTTTTGGCGGGTGGGGGTAGGGTGGGAGGGGGATGGGGGTGAGTGAGCTGCCTTCAGTAGAGCTGCTGCTGCTGCTCCGCGGAGCCATCAAACCCACACCTGAAGCCTTCCCCACCCTGCACTGGAGACCCATTCTGTGGACCATGCTTGGGGACGGACACTATCCTATCAAGCACAGACTCCTCTCACATTACCTCGCTGCCCTGGACAGTGTCTGTGGCACAGATACACTCATCTTGTTCTCTGCCCCCCCCCCCCTTCTCCCCAGGCAGGGTTTCTCTGTTAATAGCCCTGGCTGTTCTGGAACTCACTCTACTGTAGGTCAGGCTGACCCTAAACTCATGAGATCCACCTGCCTCTGCCTCCCGAGTGAGTGCTGGGATTAAAGGCGTGCACCACCACCTGGCTTCCTGGCTTCTCTGCTCATCTTAGCTGCCTTTCTGGGTGAGAACTTAGGCATTGCCTCTCTGAGAACATTGGTCTGAATCATATCCCCCACCCCACTCCACTTCTCATTTAGAAATTCTCTCTCTCTCTCTAGCTTTTGACTCTGTTGCTGAACTTGTGCTGTAAACCCTGTCTGTACACATGTGGGCCAAGGGCTTGCGTTGGGTATCTTTCCACATCTGTAGTCATGCAGTTTTCTGTTTGCTTTTCATAGCCAGGTCTTCCTGATAATACTTCTATTGCTTATATAGCCTTCGTTTCCAATATTTCTTAACCTACACAAGTCATGCCCTTAGCTGATGATTCTGGTGTGTGAGATCAGTAGGGTCTGCTGACCGCTCATTGTGCTCTGCCTTTGTGTGTGTGTTTTACCTTTATGAGCTCGTGACTTGATCTTAGCTGTGGGAACCTTGCAGGCCTTCCAGAGGACTTCTAGGAGGATTTGATTTTGTTTCTGCCAGCAGCTAGGAGACACCAATTCCCATTTGGCCTTCCCAAGGAAAGGTGACATGGGGTGACCGAGCTTTAGGCCTGTTGGTAAGCTAAGGGGGCAGGGCTTGGGACCCTGCTTCACCTCACAGGCCCCAAGCTCAGGGGCCAGAGCAGAGTCACCCACTTTACCACCTGTTGACATGGAAAGCCCCAATGTATTGTGGGTAACACTGTTCCTGAGTAGGGAGTCCAGTGTAGCATAAGAGAAGGCTGGCTGAGAGATAGCAAGGAAGGATCTTAGTACTTATTTTCTCTCTGCTCTTGTCTGCGGATTTGAAGTTTCCTGCTCTGACTTCCTCAAAGTAATAAACTGTGACCAGGAATTGGGACCTAGACAAACCCTTCCTCCTTGTGTTGCATTTATCAAGGCCTCTGTCACAGCAACAGAAATGAAACTAGGGTGCACTTTCTGGCCTCAGTTCTCTGTTGTCTGCTGGGTTTATTTGTTGTGACAGGGTTTCTCTGTGTATCCCAGGCTGTCCTAGAATTCAGGCTGTAGACCAGGTTGGCCTTGAACTCACAGAGATCCACCTGCCTCTGCCTTCCAAGTGCTAGGAATAAAGGCCAACTCCTGCCTGGCTCTATTTGTGTACTTCTCTTGCTTTTAATTGTTTATGTGTGTGAATGTTTTGTTCGCATGCATGTCTGTGCACTGCATTTGTTCCTGATACCAGCAGAGGGTGTTAGATCCCCTAGAACTGGAATTACAGATGGCTGTATTTCTGTCATGTGGGTGCTAGGAATTGAACCCAAGTCCTCTGGAAGAGCTACCTGCTGGGCCATCTCTTCAGATCCTTTCCTATCCTCTTTTAAATCCCTTTTAAAGTGTCAGAAAACTATCCTCAGGAGAATATGATTGCTCTCTAGTAGGAGGGGCCTACAGAAATCCTGGTGCCTGCCAGTAATCCCAGCCTCCAGGAGGTGGAGGTAGTTAGATTGCTGATAGTTCAAGGCCTGCTTATTAGTCAGATAATAAGCAGCAGAGTTTAGGATTAACTATACTGAGTTCTGTCTGCTAAGCACATATGTATTGAGTCACTCAAGCCTCAGCATAGCCCTTCAAGGTATATACTGTTATCCATGTCTGGAAGATGCGGACAGTGGGGTACAGGGTTCACTTGTGCAACTTCCTACACCACTAGCAAGAAATAAAGCTGACAGTAAAGCCTGCACTTATTGTAACAAGCTGTCATGGACTTAAGTCAGTGTGTGTACCAGTGTACCATGTGTTAGAATGGCTTTGTCTGCTGATATGGATGCCACTGTGTATGGTGGCCTTCAGGGCTCCCTCCAGTGTCACTGTCACCTTCATGTGGCCTGCTGTGACCATTTTGTTTGGATTTTTTTTTTTTTTTTTTTTTTTTTTTTTGAGTCAGGGTTTCTCTGTGTAACAGCCCTTGGCCGTCCTGCTGGAACTCACTATATAGACTAGGCTGGCCTGCTACTCACAGAGACCCACTTTCCTGTGCCTCCCAGATACTCACATGATAGGAGAGAAATGATTCCCCTAACTGGTCCTCTGCCTTACACACCTGGGCTAATGCACACATATGCCTCTAAGCACACATAGATATTTAGAAGGTTACTTAAAAATTGAAAATTGTGCTGGGCAGTGGTGGTGAACGTCATTAATCCCTGCACTTAGGAGGTGGAGGCAGGTGGATCTCAGTGAGTTTCAAGGCCAGTTTGGTCTACAAATTGAGTTCCAGGACAACCAGGGCTATTACACAGAGAAATAGTCCCCCCAAAAACAAACAAACATCAGAGTTCTTCATTGCCTTACGCATGCCGCTGAGTAAGGGGGGGGGCGGGGACAGTAAAAGGAAGGAAGCTGGGACTTATATCCAGATGTCATGCTGTAGGTATTGGTGGCGCTCCAAAATGAACTGTTTTGGGACTCGGTCCCTGTACTATCTAGTCATCCTGTGACCTTGTGAGAGGGCAGCTGGGCATGACAGAGTTCACAATGTGGCAGAGATGTAGGAGTCATTGGCTTACTGATGATGATTAAGCCCTTAAGACTGGGTGAGATCACTTAAAAGCTGGGATAGCAACAGAAGCTAAAGTGAGATTAGGAAGGGGAAATTAAAGCTGGATATAGTGTCACACGCCTTTAATACCAGCACTCGGGAGGCAGAGGCAGATCTCTGTGAATTTTGGGCCATCCTGATCTGCATCATGAGTTCCAGGACAGCCAGAGCTACAAAGTAAGACCCTGTCTTGGGAAAAAAAAAAAAAGGGAGTGTGTGTATTTGTTGTTGTTGTTGTTGGGGTCCAAAAAGAAATGAGGACTGAAGAGAATTTGTTATGGACACCAAGCAAGGGACAGGTCTTCAAGGAGTGGAGGACTGGAGATGGCTCAGTGGATAAGAGCACCAGCTCCTCTTCCAGAGGTCCTGAGTTCAATTCCAAGCAACCATATGGTGGCTCACACCCATCTATAGTGGGATCTGATGTCCTCTGGCATAAAGGCAAACATGCAGATAGAGCACTCATATACAAAAAATAATAAAAAAAAAAAAATGGCAGAATAGGGAGCTATTTCCCCCACAAAGCCTTCCTGATGCCTATCTGCTATTGTGTTCCTTTGGGGTGCTTCTCAGCTCCCCAAGCCCTTCTAAAGTCAGATGGAATTCACACTCCTCTCCTTCCAGCTCCTGTTAAGGAATCAAAAAAGCTGATGCCCAAAACATCCCTACCCTCTGTCAAGAGGCCAGCAGCTACCTCTGTACCTAGCAAAGCCAAGTAAGGGAGAGAGGGGTGTTGGGGGGATGGAGAAGTACTGGGGAGAAAGTAGGGGTACGATGGGGAGGGGGGAGGTACAGAGGAGACAGCCCTTCCACCCATCTGCTGTTACTGATGGAGATGTATTCCAGGATATCTTCAACACCCAGTGGGGACAGTCAGAAACGCCCTTGCCGGGACTCTGGTAAGAGCTACCTTCCTACAGTGGAGGGGGCGGGGGTGTTGAGGGATCAAGATGAGCTTGGGTCTCTGAAGCTCTGCTCTTCATAGGCTTCAATAGCAGCTTCCTCAATGGAGGGCCCAGACAGCCTGGGAGAAAGCAAACCAGACCCCAGGCACCCCAACAGCACGCTGTATTCAGCCAGGTGAGGGGCCAGATGCATGGGAGAGGGAATTGCTGGGAGAAGGTGACCACACGTGTGCTGTGCAAGGGCAAAAGATCCCAAGGGGAACAAAGAAGCTGGGACAAGGCATCCAGCTTTCAACCGCGACCCCCCCCATCCCTGCCATCACCACAGGAGAATGAACAGAGAAGCCCGGGAAAGACCCCCTCCACAAATAAAAGCCCCACTCCAAATAAGACTCCGCTTCTAGATAAGACCCTTGGCCCAGAGAAGATCTCAGCTCCTGACAAAGTCTCCACCCCAGAGAACCCTGTTCCAGAGAAAGCCCTGGATTCTGACAAAGTTCCCACTGCAGAGAATACCACTGTGGACAAGGCTGCCACTACAGAGAGTGCCCTTTCAGTGGATGAGGCCCCTGCCCTAGTGGCCCCAACTGAGGATGAAACCGTTGACCCGAAGATGGCCCTTCACGTGGACAGTACCCCTGTACTAGTAAAGATCTTGACCCCAGAGAACATGCTTTTTGAAGAGGACCCTATTAGAGACAACACTCAGTGCCAGCATTTGCCTCAGGAAGAAACCACACAGGCTTCTGAGTCTCCTGCATCTCCAAATGACATCGAGGTGCCAAAAGAGTACTCTCCGCGGTCTAACTCTTCAGAGAGCTGGTGTTGCTCTAAAATGAAACATGGGGACGGTTCCCCAGCTCACTCCAGAGCTAAGAATGAGGCTGCCGTGGAGGAGGCCACCTTTCTGGAGGGGTTACCAGCCAAAGATGAGACAACCCTGAAAGAGCCACTCCCCAAAGAAAAGCTGCCTTCCGAAGGAGCGGGCCCCCAAAAGCAGGTGCCTCCTAAAGAGCCAGTCCCCACTCCCCAAGTACCACATGCTAACAAGCAGATTCCAAACCCTGAAGAAACCCCCACACTTCATCCCGAGGTCCCACGAGCGTCTTCCAAAAGCAAGAATGACAGCGTGGATGTAACAACGCTAAAGGAAGAGGTGGGGTCGCTAAAGAGCACGCTGGAGCTTCTGGAGTTGAAGCTGGAGTAAGTGGGCAGTAGTGCAGGGTGGGATGGGGCGGGAGATAAGGGTAAGGGTTCAATGTCTCACCGGAAACCCGGTATCCACAGGCAGAAGATGAATGATGTCTGGGAGGAGCTGAAGACTGAGAAAGAGAAGCTCCAGTCCCTAGAGGTGGGTAAAATGAGGATCCAGGGCGGGGGGGGGGGTGTGGGGGGCAGTAGCCGGTGGCTCTGGTCTCTGATGCCCTCTCTCGACTAGGTTCGGTTGACGCCGGGGACCCAGAAGTCCTTTAAGCATGCGCAAACACAGACGGAATGAGAGCGAATGAGAGCGGGCTCAGGAGGAACCTCAGCCCGACCTGCAGGGACGACCATCCTGCACTGGCCAGCCGGTCCTTGCATACAACTTTTGAGAAACTCCAAGGAAGTAAAAACTCTGAACTCTTAAGACCAGCCTGGTCCGTGTGAGGCGGGGCCAGCCAACACACCACCCTCTGCATTCCTGGCGCTCTCTCCCGGGGCACATCTGGCCAACATGTGGCTTCCATTACCATTCTCAAGGCCTATGTAAGGCTATTTTTATCCACCGGATGGTTGGGGGCAGGGTTTGTCTCCTTCGGACGCCAGCCCTGTGCTGGATGCTGGGTGGAGGGGTCCAGATCCTTCTGGATTCGGGAACCCAGCTGTGCGCTGGAGGGGTGGAGCCAGTCTTCTCTGGGCCCAGCTCCTCCCAGTTAGCTTCTTCCCTAAGGGATTCCTGTGTCCACTCACTTGGAATTATACTCAGAAGCCAACTCCTGGTTTCGCTCAGGCACTAAGTCCAATAGAATTAGCACTAAGGTCTGAGCCTTAGTGTGATTGCAGTGACGTCTCAGGGCAAGGTCATAGGGCAGGGGACTAGGTGACTTTTGTCCAAGTGTTGGATAGTAAGGAACATATTTGTGAGAAATGCCTGGAATACCTGTCTGGTGTGCAAGCACAAGAGGCGAGTCTTGGCCTGGTTCTTTGGTCTGTGAAGTGAGCACAAGCATGCATTGGATAGACCCCCCCCCTCCCCAGTGACACCCACAGCCCTGGGACTCCCCTACCAGGCCGGAGCCTGGGAGCCTGCTGAAAGTGGTAACTAAATGAGAGACTGAGTCGCTGAAACTAGCTTTCATTGGTCATTCATTATTACCAGGAGGAGCAGGTGGGACCTGGCATCCTTTTCCCACCCACACCTGCCCAGTGAAGAGTGCATAACAGGCGGCGATCCACGCCTAATAGCACCAGGAGAATTGGGGCAGAGGCAGTTCGAAGGCCCTGGGGCAACACTGGTTAGTCCCATGTCCAGTACTCTGGGCCTCGCGCTGCGGTTTGTGTGTCAATAATAGTGCATACGGCCCAGAGTGCCGGTGGCTGTGGCTCCGGGCCCGAGCGTGCCGGTACCCAGAAGGTCTGGCTGCCCAGTGCGCCAGATCTCCCGCAGGATTCGCTCTCGCTCCTCCAGTCGCTGTGCCCGCTCCAACTCTTCTGCTGAGGTGAAGACATTGACACTAAGGGGCCCGTCGGGCTCAGTGGACAGCTCCTGGCCCGGGAGCGTGTCATCAGGGCCCAGCCTCGTCATGGTGTCCTCATCCTCGTCGTCATCATCATCTTCCGGCTCTAGGGTGCTGCTGCGAGGGTCCCGGCGCGGAGCAGGGGCCCGGGGCCGCGAGCGAGGTGCGCAGGAGATGCTGATGACTAGCAGGCACAAGGTCAGCAGCAGACCGAAGCAGACGCCCAGCACGAAGTAGAGGCCGAAGCTCTCGGGGTTAGCTAGGGAGCAGGGAGCGGAGGTCACAGGGGGGGCCTGACAGGCTGGAGTCGTCCCATCTGAGAGAGATCCAGGGTCTACGCTTGGGACACAGAACGGAAGGGCAGCAGGGGACAGGAATCGGGATAGGACTGGGGATGAGCAGCTGGGTTATGATGGACGGGCTCCGTGCTCCCAGGCCTGGCCCTCACCTCGGATGTGTGCATAGGCCGCCAGGCTGTTGCTGAATAGCTCCATGTCCTTCCTTGGGGCATCCATGGTCCTGGGGCTGTCAGCCTGCGAGGTCAGCCAGGTCAGGTCCTCCAAGGCCGGAGGCACTCACTCCTCGGGCAGCTCCTCCACCCTGGGAGAGAGCATTTCCCCTCATTTGGTCGCAGATCTGGGCTCTGCTAGATAGAGTCCTTGCTTCCCCACAGACGCCCCTTCATCCCGGGGAGCTGCGGAGAAGCCGCACACGCTCCGCCCCCTCGTGGGGTCCCTAGGCGAGGCCCAGCGCACGGAAGGATGAGGCGGTGCCTCGGGGCTCCCCTGTCGCCTCCCTCCTGCACCCCTCCGCCAGCAGGGCCTGGGCCCTGCTCGCTCACCCGTCAGCGTCCCGCTGCCTGCCCCCGGCAGCTGCGACTTCCCGGTGGCTGCATACACCCGGGCCGGGCCGCCCCGTCCGCCTTCCTCGGTTCGCACTGTGGTGCGGCCGGACACGCCGATGGACCAGCCGGCGGAAAGTTTCCTCGGAGGAAAGAGGAGGGACGGGACGGGACGGGGCGGGGCGGGGCGGAGAGGCGGGAGGAAGAGCGCCTGGAGGAAGGGGAGAGGGGGCGGCCCCTGCTCCCCTACAGGAAGCCGCTGGGGAGGCCGCTCACAGGGGCCGCCCCCTCCAAAACTAACAACGCTAGTTACTAAACATCCCAAGGCCTGGGCGCAGGAAGTAACATCCCTCCCACCACAGTCGTTGCTTCTTTTAAGCCTACCCTAGACTGTGGCTACCATTAAGTCTCCAATTTGCAGATGAAGTAAACTGAGTCATAAAGATCTTGAAGAACTTTGCCATATGGCAGGACTTGAACCCACAACTCTCTGGCCAGAGGGCGCAGGCTCCTAACTACTTCCCTGTGCCTGGCTCCTCCTGTGATGAGGGCGGGTCCAAACCGGTTCATCCCTGGAGCCCTTTCGTAGACCCGTCCTCATTGGTCCTGGGAGAGAGAGAAACTCTTGAGCCCCTCCTCCCGGTGGCCTAGCTGAGTGTGTCCAGCTGCTGTGGTCACCCGAGGTTAATGATTGTAGAACTCGGCGGTGAGCCAGGCCCCAGAACACTGCAGACCCCTGCCTGCGGGGGCCCCTGCCTCTGCAAGCTCAGGGAACGTCCTAGCTGCTTTGCCCGCTGGACCTGCCCAGACTCACACGTGTGCTTCCACCTGGGCTCAAGGCTTGTACAGAAGTGTGCTGGGGGTTCTGCAGCTGGGCTTGCTTTCCTTTCTGCTTAGTCGTCTGTCCACTCCCCTTCCCCTCCCTAAGCTGGATCTGGGGTGAGGGGGAGGCCTTGGCGGGAATCTTGGGAAGGGGGAGGGAAAGAATGGGGAGAGGAAATTGCAGGCATAGCTGTAGGCGCTGCCTGAGGGCCATTAACCCCCTCCTTGTCCAAGCTGCAGGACAACCCTCCCACCACCTACGGACTCCCCCAGGCCAGCCTGGGTTCAAGTAGGGGACAAGAGGAGATGGAGAAAGGAGCGGGCTGACTCGCACCTGGGTGTATTTGTGATTGTTTAGTCTGCTTTGTGAGCAGATAGAAGCCTCTTGGCCCAAGTGTACTTACCTATTTACACATAATGTTGCTTTCAGCATTTCGGTGTGGGATGAGAACAACACTCTCACAACCCCCCCCCCCATTAGTAGATGGCTGGGCCCTCCTAAGAATGGAGATTCAGAGTAAAGAGGTTACAAGCCCTTAGGAGGCAGGCTCCCTTAAGAGGCTGAGAGGTGCTGAGGAGGCGATGGAATCCATTAATGTGATGGGAGCATCTTGGGCAGCTCTGACAAGAACACTCCAGGTAAGAGCTGAGTCCTGAGGATGCCAAGACCTGGAGGAGAGTGTCTAGGCAGGAACAAGGAGTGGGGTTCCTGGCTTGCAGAGAGCTAGTGTCCATGGCCACCAAGGAGCTTTTGCAGCAGCTCAATAGGGAGCTGGGATGCCATTTGTAAGTGAATTGGTAAGCCCCTGGGGTCCTAAGTAAGGAGCATCAGTAACAGTCTTGGAAAGACTCTTCAAATGGCTCAAGAGAGGCTTGGCCACAGCGGGGTGGAGACTGGCAGGGGTTCAGGGGAGCAGTGGTCTGGGCTTAACCCAGAGTAACAGGAGGTGGGGAAGGCTAGTGGTGTCCTAAAGGGAGTTCCTGTGTGGAGGTGGTTTTGAGTGAAGAGGAATTTAGCCTTGATCTTGGGTCTGTGCAACAGAGGAAAGTCTTGGGGGGGCATCATGTTTTTTAGTCTTTTTTTCCCCACAGGGGGCAGGAGATGAATTTTATATTTCAGATTCATGATACCCATGATACCTGGGTGTGGGTGTTAGAGAGGCAGATGTAGCCCCACCCCCAAATACCATTTCCAGCAAGGAAAAACATTTAGCATCCTGGGAATAGCTGGGACACCCAGTTCAAAAGAACAGGGAGGAGAGTCTGTCTAAAGCCTGAGCCCTGATCACTGACATTGAGGGGGTCTTCTGGAGGAGGGATCCTCAACAGCAAGCCAGCAAGGATGTGACCCTTTGGGTTATATAGGGCTAAGGACAGAGTTAAGACCAGAATGGAGCAACATTTCAATATCGTTAGTGATGCCCATGGATGGGCTCATCCCTACTCCAAGGCATGTGTGTGACTGGCTAGTTGGACACATACAGGATAACTAGTGTTGGGAATGTGTTGAAAACCATGGTCTGCCAACCGCATAACTGTTGGTACATGCTGCAGCTTAGCTTGTACACCGGTGTGTATGGAGGAGTCGTTTGTGTGGTGCACACCTGTTCTCTGAGGGTTCACAGGAAGATGATGTGAGATTTGAGATAGGCTCCTGCAAACCGATCTGCATCACTGTGCTTAGCAGATCTGTCTCTGCCTGTAGGCAAATGTGTGTTCTTATCTAGGTGTGACTCAGCCTTGGGGAGACAGAGACTATGCTGAAATAAGTAAGTGTTGAGATGGTTGCTGGACCCTGCAGAGGGAAGCACACTAAGAGAATGCTACTATCTATGAGCAGTTCCTTGTGGTTAAACATGAGAAGTGACACTGTGGCCTGATAGACTCTGAAAAGTAGAAAGCTATTAAAAGTTCTGGAGAAGGGACCTTAAAGCCTGTGGCTGTAATGGCTGTCCACAGTGGCCAGCTGCCTGCCTCTGGAGCCCTAATTCTGTTGGGCCCTTTGTTTCTTCCCTGTGGCTGGAATATCTCATGTCTGCCCATCTAGCATCCTGCCCACTCACCTGTAGACTCTATTTGACCAGGATTCTTCTGCTTGCCTGGCCATTTGTCCCCTGGCTGGGCCATCTCTGCCCTCCCATCTGCTTGTGAGATCAGAGATTTGTATCTTGGAAGGCCCAGACAGGAAACAGGAAAGGCAGGTCTTGGCAGGTTAGGGGGCTGAGGAATCCGGACTGGAAGAGGCCTCGGGAGTCTGTCCCTGCCCATTTCGGCCCTGGCTGCTGTGCTGTGCACCACACTTAGGCTTCCCCCACCCAAAGAGCAGGGTCTTAGAGAGGTGGGAAAAGGAGGCTTGCTCAGGGCCTCCTGCAGCTTGTCAAGTTTCTTAGTGTCCCCTTACCCCCAGCACCTAGTCCACTGGCTCGGTAGGGATTCTGGGAAAAAGTTTACTCAGGGTAGGGAAATGGTAATAGATATGAAATGTCCTCTGTCTCTGACATTCCCTGTGCAGTAATGTGGCTTCTATTTGACAGAGGAGGAAGACAAGGCTTAGAGATATGTGGAGGTCCACATAGGTACTGGTAGTGGGGCCCAGCGGCTTTGAACTTGTATGGAGACAGAGCACCTTTCTGGGTGCTTCCTATTGTGCTGTTCATGCTCTGAAAGTGAACCTGGTGCACCACCCATCTTGTCCTATGGTGGCTGGAGAGCTGGCTCAGTGTTAAGAACACTGGCTGCTCTTCTAGAGGACCCAAGTTCAATTCCTAATACCTACATGGCAGCTCACGGCCAAGGGATCCAACACCCTCATATGGGCAAAACTAATAGACATGAAAAAATGAGTAATTTTAAAATGTACAGTGGCGATTGTTAAGAAAGTGAGTCGTGTGTTGCTGGGACGCTGCTGTAGGGGTGACTGAACAATATAAAGTACAAATTCCCTCCACTTTGTCCAGCAGTTAAGATTCCCAGGAAATAGCCAAGCATGGTATGGTGGCCCATTATCCCGGCACTCCGGATCTAGAGGCAGGCAGATCTCTGTGAGTTCGAGGCCAGCCAAGTCTACAAAGTGAGGTCCAGGACAGCTAGGACTGTTACACAAAGAAAAAGCCTGTCTCAAAAAAATACAAACAAGATTCCCCGTTCTCTCTGTGTAGACCCAAAGATTTTCCTGCTACCATTTATGGGTCCTGACATTTCAGTAGGGGAGGACTGATCAGTAATTGAGCATAGGGGAACCAGGTAGACTGGACATGGGGTGAAGGCTTTGAGCAAGCTCCATGGGTGGTGGGGGAAGAACACAGCAAGAGAAGCCAGCAGAAGGTCAGGCTCCAAAGCTACACAAAGAAAGCCTGTCTCGAAAAGCAAAAAAGACTTGAGTACTTAGAGATAAACAGGAAAAAACAGTTAAGGTTTGTGATATGTTTGTGTGTGCAGCAGAAAGGGGGTCAGTTGCACTGGCTAGGTTTTTGTTGACACAGCTGAGTGGTTTGAGAAGTAGAAACCTCAACTGAGAAATGCCTCCATCAGACTGGCCCGTAGGCAAGCCAGTGGGGCTTGTTTTTTATCGATGATCATGTAGAAGGGCCCAGCCCACTGTGGGCGGTGTCACTTGACAGGTAGCCCTGGGCAGTTAAGTATAAGGAAGGTTGGTGGCACGCCTTTAATCCCAGCACTCAGAGGCAGAGGCAGGAGTATCTCTGAGTTCATGGCCAGCCTGGTCTACAGAGTGAGTTCTAGGACAGGCTCCAAAACAATACAGAGAAACCCTGTCTCGAAAAGCAAAACAAAACAAAAAAGCAAGCCAGAAAGCAGCGCTTTTCCATGGCTCCCAGGTTCTACTCCCAGGTTCCTGCCTTGACTTCCTTTGTTGATGAGTACAAATGGGAACTGATACAAACCCTTTCCTCCCCAAGCTGCCTTTGGCCATGGTTTTTATTATACCAAAAAGAAGCTTAACACAATCACTGGCAGGCCCTTTACCTGAGGCTTGTTATGTTGTGTTTTTCCTGCATGTATGTCTGTGTACCTTGTGCCTGCCTGGTGCCTGAAGAGTTCAGAAGAGGGGTCTGCTCCCTTTGGAGCTGGAGTTTAGAAAACTGGGAGCCATCATGTGGGTATTGGGAATCAAACCTGGGTCCTTCGTAAGAACAATTATTCTAACAACTAAGTCATTTCTCCAGCCCTATTCTCTTTTATTTTTAAATTTATTTTGGTGTTTGTATGTATGTATAGCTTTGGCTGTCCTGGAACTCACTCTGTAGACCACACTAGCCTCGAACTCACAGAGATCAGCTTGCCTCTGCCTCCTGAGTTCTGGAACTAAAGGTGTGTTTGTCTGGGTGAAGTTTGTTTTTTGAAAAACAAATTTATGTATGTCTGTTTGCTGTGTGTGTAATGCTAGCAAAGGCCAGAAGAGGGTATTGTAGCCTCTTGAGCTGGAGTAACAGGCAGCCATGAGCCACCTAATGTGGATGCTAGGAACCAAATTCAGGTCCTCCAGAAGAACATTAAGTGCTCATAACTGCCATGCCATCTCTCTGGCCTCTCTGACATTTTATACATGTTAATAATGTATTTTGATCAAAAGCAATTAAATTTTTGTTTTTGAGAATTTCATGGCCTCTGGAGATGACCTTAAACTTCTGACCCTATGATTCTCCACTTCCAATGCTGGCATTACAGAGATGGGACCAGTTTATGTAGTTCTGGGGATTAAACCCAGGCTTCCTGTGTGCTGAGCAAACCCCAACCCCTGGCTTCACTGTGTAGCCCTTACTGGCCTGAACTCACCACAAAGACCAGGCTGCTCTCAAAATCAGAGATCAGAGATGTCGGATTACAGGCATATGCCACCACACCTGGCTATCCCCAAGTTTGAGATGGCTCCCCTGGTCCTTGTAGTGCCTGGACTGCTGGGGGTAGGATAGGGGATTAGTGTTGCAAAGGAATGAAGACAGACAGAAGGACAGAAAGCTGGGATCAGGTGGTCTAGGCTCTTGGATGGAGAAACTTCAGCTTGCTTGTTATATCGTTGGAAAAAAGAAACAAAACCTGAAGATTAGTAAAGGACAAACAGTCCCAGTACAGATCAATAAACCAGAGATGGCTTGGAGGTTAAGAGCACAGGCTCACTATCACCTGTAACTCCCATTCCAGGGATCTGATGCCCTCTTTTGGCCTTTGTGGACACCAGACACACGAGTGGGTCCGAGACATGCAGGCACAACAATTATAAACTTAAAAGATAAAAAAATTCTTAAAAAGGAAGGCATAGTGTCTGAAGAAATAGGGTGGATTTTTCTAACTGCAAAAGCAAAAACACCTGAGGAGTTGCTGAGCATCATTTGAGGGCCAGACCATTTCTGAGGGCTGGATTGGGAGACCTAGATAGCCCCAGAGACAACTGTACCCTCTTTGTTTTGTTTTTCAAGACAGGATTTCTGTGTGTAACAGCCCTGGCTGTCCTGGAACTCACTCTGTAGACCACGCTGGCCTCAAACTCCGAGATCCGCCTGCCTCTAACTCCCAAGTGCTTTGATTAAAGGCATGTGCCACCACCGCCTAGAGACATCTGTACTCAAAGTGAGAAGTGAATGGAGACCAGGTCCAGGGCAGCAGCTAGCAGTGGTGGACGAGAGGAAGGGCATCTCACGGTATTGCACCTGGGTCGGGCAGAGCAGTCATGAGAATCCGGCCCATCTGGGAGAGGCTTCATTTGCTGTGGTGCCTTTTTCTTTCTTGCCCAGCGAAGGATGGTCTAGCCTACGACCTCCTTCACCAGGGAGTGCTAGCTGTTTTTTGGCTTTGCTGGGAAGTACGTTCCACAGTCTAAACTTAGGCAACGGAAGGAAGGAGGAAGGAAGGCGGGCAGCCCTGGGTTTCCCAAGGAGGAGAGGGCAGTACAGGAAATGGCCAGCTCTGGCTAGCTCTTTATCCCAGCTCCCTGAAACAGGCATGTGAGTGCATGGCTGCCTCTGACACAGGACTTTGTAAAGAGGGGGCTGATGGCTTTCTAGCTGTCAAGGCCCTGCTTTCAGTGGGCAGAAGCAGGGCCATGCCAACCTAGAAGCTGCCATTGGCTATTGGCAGGGGGCAGGATATTCCAGTCCCCTCCTGCTTCTGACAGCATGACTTAACTATTTGCTGGCCTGAGGTCGCAGTGCACCTGTTGGCATGGCCCAGAGACCCAGGACCTGCCCTGCTGGAATAGAGATGGCAGGCTTGACTGAGGACAAGAACATAGGCATTGCTGCAGGCAATGGTGGCTCCAGACCAGGAAGTTTTATTGCTGACATGCAGGAAGAGTCCCCATGTAGTACAAAAATACGTCTTTATACAAACTCTTTTTTGTGACTTTTTTTTCTTTTTTCTTTTTTTTTTTTTTTTTTTTTTTTGGTCTTTTCTTTACAATAGGACTTCTCAGTGTGTGACACCAGTGAGGGTAGGCCCAACCTCTCATCTGCATTGCCAGAAGTACCATCAGACCTAGGGCTGACCTTGGCAGGAACCAGGCTGTCTGATGGACTCTGCAGACCTGAAGGTATTGCTTTTAAAAGGAGGGCTGTGGGTGCAGGCCTGAGACACCAGGCAGGGGCTCCGCCCAGGAGGGCCCTTAACCTGGCCGCAGAGCCTCACTGGAGGGCAGTCATGGGCTGGAGCCCAGGCTGACTGCATTTCTGCTCCCTCAGGAGACTTTTCATTATCAAATAAATATAGAAAAGAGCCCTCCCCCCCACCCACCCAGCACCATGCCCTGACTCCAGCAACAGGATGGCTGAACTAGAGACAGGGCTGGATGCTAGGGGATGTGCTGGGCCCAGGTGGGTTCCTGCAGGCCCAGCAAAACAGAGGCACAGGCGCCCAGGGCTGGATAGGAGGGATTGGGGGGGGGGAGGGAGGGACATGGGCAGCCCTGCTACTGCTGGCAAGAGGTGGCCCCATTTTTTCCAGATGGGGAAACTGAGGCACAAGGAGGTTTGGGAACTTGCCCAAGGTCACTCACAGTGAGTCAGCTTTTCAGGGGGTGAGGGGCAGCTCACACTCTAGGAAACATGACCTCCCCCATTGGAGAGCAAGAGGCAGGAAGGGTCTAGGACTGCCAGGAGGGGGCCATTGTGCTCTCTGAGGTTACACAGGGTGTAGGCCTGCAGAACTGGGTCTTTGCTTGCTACTGGGTGTGCCAAGTCCAGTGCAGGGAGGAGCATTCTGGAGAGAACAGCATTTCTGGCAAGACGGGCATCCACTTCAAAATTTCGGCTCAAAAAGGATAGCAGGGCTGTTCTCAAGCCAGGTAGTTAGGTCCCCGATCCCTACAGGTTTCCTCCAAGTCTTTCACCCCCAGGTAGGCATCTGCCCAGGGTCACTTCTGAGGCAGGGTGGGAGGGTCTCTGAGCATAGTGGCCTGTCCCTCACAGGTCCGAGCATCCTCCAAAGTCACCACAGGCCCGTTTACACCATGCCCATGTTATCCTGGGTACCACTCGAAGGATGGAGGAGGCAGGGCTAATGCACATGTGCAGCACCTCAGAAACCTCAGAGACAAAGAAAGAGCCAAGTGTAGAAACAGGCCCAGTAGGGGAGAGCAGAGAAGAACTGGCAAGAGAACTCCTAGGTGCCTGGGGGTGAGAAGGGGGCCTGCATATACATGTGGGCCCCATTACCCAGCCAGGCTGGGGCGGGGGGCAGAGAAGTTGAGTTCAGTAAAAAAATAAATATATTTGAATCGGGCAGAAGATGAGGTGAAAAGTGTTTCAAAGCTTAGACTGAGGGAAGGCCCTAGGGGAGGGGTGGTGGTGAGGACGTGGATAGCGGGAAGGGGTGCTCACTGGGGGCCAGTAGCGAGCTGCATGGTCAGCTTATATGGACTGTGGGGAGCAGTGGCTGGCCGGGCTGTAGCTGTTCCAGGGCCTAGATGGCGAGCATAGGCTCCCCTCTTTCCTCCCAGCAGTCGGTCCAGAGACAGTGTGGTTAGATAGACAGAGGTAGATTAAAATGTCATGATTAAAAGCAGATCAGTTATCTAGAATTTTTAGATTAAAAAAAAAAATCAAGCAATCATCCTAAAAGGTAGCTTTGTGGTACCTCTGTTGACCCTGGCTGTGACCTGGGCTGTCCCTATCCCTGCCCTGTCCCTATAGCAGCCTGGGAGTCAGTCCAGCTCGGCTGGGCTGGTGCCCTAGCTGAGGGCACTATTTCCGCAGATAGCGCTGTGCCAGGACAGCTGTGTCCAAAGAAGTCATGGGCTGCGCATCATGGCCTAGCCGTCGCACTGGTGGCATGCTACCGAACTGCCGTTTGGGCACCCACGTCCGGGCCTCATGGATGGAGCTTTTCTCTTCAGCAAGCAGCAGTTGCTGTCGCATGTAGTTCTCGAACTCGTACTGGGAGCATTCCTCTGTTACCTTTGCCTGTGAGACCGAGAGACCAAGGTGAAGACAGAACACGGGGCCAGGGCTGGGCAGCCTGGCTACTGAGGTCATGCTTCCCAGGCATCATGATTCAGGCTGTCTCCCCAGAGGCTAAGCATGGGGCCCTGAAGTCCTCCAGCCAGCTGGCCCTCACCTTGCTGACCGATGTGATGACTGTAGCAGGCCCTAGCTGCACACAACCGTCTTCTGACTTGGATCTCTACCTTCCAGGTTACATTAGCATTCCTCACCCATGGTGGCGGTGTGTATGTGTATGAGGGTGGGGGTTCGGGTGTGTCTCCTCACAGAAGGGTCTCTCAACTCTAAGGGGCTGATGCATGCCAAGGGTTGAGAGCAGGGCTACTCTCCATCGGTGGCCTCAAGCCGAGCGCCCTGCTGTGCAGGCGGGCAATGAGAGACTGCAGCAGCAGGCCCTGACTAGTGGAAGGAAGGCAGGGTTCTGGGACCAAGGCACAGCTCCCCTGCTGCCAAGCTGTGTGACTGTGCACACATCACTTTACTTCTCTGATCTTCAGGCCCTTCCTTTGTCAATGGGATCAGGCCTTAGGGTGGACCGATGGGAGCTGGCTAGGGCTCCCAGGCATGGCCCCTCCCGGTCCGACCTGCCCACTGCTTGCTAGGGAGCTCCAAGGGAAGCTTCCCTCCTGGGGGTGCTCTCAGACCACCCACAGTTGCTGACTAGCACTCCTGTCTCTGTCCCCAGCCATTGCTCACTTTCTTCAGTGCAGGGAATAGGGAGAAGACAGACAAATGAATCATCTAAAAACTGAAAAGCAGGAAGGGTGAGAGAAGAGAAGGAGAGGAACGGGACTTGAATGGGAAGAGGAACCCAGGTGGCTGCCTGGCACTGGGGCCTCCCAGGAGCTGACTCTGTCCGTTGTCAGCTGTGTCTTCTCAGACTGGGGACCTCGGATGGACAGGCCACAGTATCTTTCTGTTGCCAAGGCTGGAGAAGGAAGTCCTGTACATACCTGCCCTTGCTTCCCTCTCCACACTCACCTCCTGGGAGCTGTCAGAGTTGCTCATTTGGTCATCAATGTCAGGAACCACTTGTAAGGGCCCACTCAGAGAGGACAGGGACTGCCTGCAGGGAAGAGGGACATGTCAGGTTAGACAGGTTCCTACTGCTCCTAACTTGTCTCAAATCAGTCTAGCTTAGGACCCGGTCAGGACCTGCCTAACATGCTGACTGCTCTGGGCATCTCTCTGCTGCAAGGGTTGTGGTGGGAACTTAGCAAGGCAATGCCCACCTCACAGCTGACATGTCTGGCAGGCAGGCAGATGCTTACTCTGCCTATATCCTCATAGTCCTACCTTTAGGATAATCTGAAGCTGATGGTGTAGCAGAGAAATGGGCTGCTCAAGTCTGGGGCAGGGTGGCAGAACATTTGAGCTCCTGGCCTTGTGCAGGCCCACTTACCACGATGCAATGATGGCACTGAGGGCCTCTAGGACATCCGCAGCAGCCAGGCGTTGCTGAGGGTCAAGGACCAGCAGTTTCCGGATAAGACACACTGTGTTCTCAGAGACCCTCCCATCCTCGGGGATGGTGTATTCCGCAGCCTTGATCTTGCGGAAAAGCTCCTGTGGGATGCTGTCGTAGAAGGGGAACTGGCCGTACAGCATGGTGAAGAGAACCACACCCAGGGCCCACATGTCACTAGGCTTGCCCCTGTACGGCCGGCCTGGGGACAAAGCACATGCACACTTACTTGGATTGATAACTAACTCAGGCAGCGACTCACTCCAAACCCCAGCTCTGCTGCATGGCCTTTGCCCATTCTTACTCCCAAGGCAAGCATAGCTTGAGCTCCTGCACGCTTGCTTGCCAGTCCCCTGCTCCCCGGGATGACGCCTGGGTGTGTGCAGCCCACCCACCTTGCCCTGCTCTTCTCTACCAGCATAGGAGACTCTGGGAGCTAATTACCACTCCCACACCCAGGACAGCAGCTCACAGAGCAGCTCACAGGCAGTATATCCAACACAGGTGTTGTCACTGTGCTCATTACCTGGGCCCAGCCTAGCCTTGGGCATTCACTTTATCAGCCCTGTCAGTGGTATGGTCTGCATGTCCCCACCACAGGGAGGAGGAATGGGAAAGGGACTCGTGGAAGATGGGGGAACAGAGAGCTATGGGAGAGGGATGGGAAGGCAGACTGAGGAACAAAGCATGTGGATATATATATGCATAAAAATGAAAATGTCACAGGGAAACCTATCACTAATTTTTGAAGGTGCTAAACAGGTCACCTTAGCTTTAGTGTCCTCATCTGTAAAAAGGGGTTTTGTGACACTGTCCTTAGGTTAGCAATATAGCTTTATTGAGCACAGGAGTGTTGAGATTGGGTCTTGTTATATGGGCCAGGCCAGCCTAGAACTCAAGATCCTCCTGCCTTTGCATCCCGAGTGCTGGGGTGCCAGATGTGTGACACCATGCTCACACAGCTGGGCTTCTAGTTTTTAGCATTGCAGCTTAAATGCCACATCTTTCCCATGTGCCCTTATATGTTCTTTTGGAATGCCCATCTCTCTCTCATAGCTCTAACCTGATGTGGGCACGTGACCAGTCTGTCCTGTTCCTCCATTAGACCAGAGATCTTGTACAGGGTGGGTCAGGACTGGCTTGGGCTCAGGAAAGCCCAGCACCCAGTCCAGGGCCTGCCCACAGGCTACCATCTGTCTAAAGAGCACACTGCCACAATGTGAGACCACACATACCACTGAGCACATCGGGACTGATGTAGGCAGGGCTCCCCCTCTGGTCCTTCAGCAGATCCCCCTCACTCACAAGATGTTTCCCAAGGCAGAAGTTGGTGATAGTTATCCGATGGGTCCTAAGAATGGGAGACAGAGTGAACACAGGCAGCAGAGCCAGGCACCCTGCTGGGTCAGGTCCCTACTCTAAATAAAAGCAACCAGGCCTCTCTCTTCCAAGAGGACAGCAGCCTCCTCCCCTTAACCTGCTGCTCTGGCTCAGTGTCAGGGTACAGCTTGGAGCTGAAATAATTCCCAGAGATTTTCATCAATACTCAAGACTGGGAATAGCTCACAACTTCAACATGGTTCCCGAATTCCCACATGCAGGAAAAAGACCAGCAGACATGAAGGACCTTAACCCCCGCCTCACTGCACTGTGGCCAGGGTACAGGCCCTGAGCCCCCTCCCTCACCACTGGAGGCAACCTCTCCGCAGGCAGCCCAGTACACAGGCCTAGGCCTCACAATGGGATTCTGTCCCACGGGAAGTTTCCACATGCTCTGGTAGAGTGTAGAAGCTGATTCTATGCCATACCCTCCAGCTGACAGCTGTGTGTATGTCTGTGTGTGTATTATGAAGGCCAAATGTCACAGCTGGTATGTATTTGGTTTCTCCTAACCCCCCCTGTGTAGCTCTGGCTGGCTTGGAACTCACTCTGTAGACCAGGCTGGCCTCCAACTCATAGAGATCTGCCTGCCTCTGCCCCTAAGTGCTGAGATTAAAGGTGTGTGTAACCACCACCTGGCCTTTACATTATTTTTTGAGACAGGTGTCTTACTGGACCCAGAGCTCACCAACTTGGCAAGCCTACCTGACCAGCAAGCCCCAGGGATCCTCTTGTTTATTTCTCAACAGGGATGGGAGTATAGGCTCATGCCACTATTCTGGCTTTTTGTGCTAGGGATCTGAACTCAAATCCTCCAAACTTGCCTGGCAAGCACTTAACCAACTCAGCTTTATTCCCTGACCTCAGCCTATCTTTTCTGTGGATTAGGGGGAGGCAGGTCTCTCCAAAGAGCTCTGGCATCCATCCGATAAGGTGAGTGTGTCATCTCAGCTCTTCTTAGTCCTCAGAATCCTCGGAGCTAACAGAATGGGAATGGAGGGTGCCAGCTCAGAGCAATGGTACCATTAACCATTTCAACCACTCTGTCTTTCTAAACCCACTGTAGACCAAAGCCACCCAGGGACTCAGCACTGGGAGGATGGAGAACTTGTGCTTCATGGGAGGGCATGCACACTGCTGTTGATGTTGGCTGGCTTGGCATGAGCCCAATGGCTAGGAGATGGCAAACAATGAAGGTTTGGGTCTTTACTGGTTCAAGGCTGTCTCAAAGCCAGAGAGTTCACTCCAGGAAGGGAAGGCATTGTGAGCTGATGATGTTGCCAAGGCTAGCTCTGCCATGTTGGGGTTCCCTCTGCTAACAGTTTTAAGCAGGCAGCCTTTCTTTGAAAGAGTTCTGGGGTCCTGTTGCATGGGCTTGCGGTGGCTCAGGATGCAGAACCCACACCGCTTTGTGAATGAGGCACTGTCCTCAAGTGTAGCAGGTCACTATGGACTGCAGCCACACTGAATCACTCACACAGCTTAGACACATTTCAGAGTCACCCACGAGACAATGTGTTGTCTATTTCCAACCATCTTTGTCGTTGTTTTGTTTTCTTTAGTGCTAGGGGTCAAAGCAAGGGCTTGTGCACACCAGCCCTATGGCCAAAACTTATGAACAGCAGAGGTGCCTGAGAGGTCCTCATTAGGAGCAGCAGGGCCTTTGGGAGGTAACAATGACATCAGTGAGGAATGTGGCTCTTAGGAAGCTGGTGCCAGTCTCCCAGGAGAGCCCATGGCATAAGAAGGGGAGCTGAGGCGAGCAGATGGTGCTCAGCTGCGATGGAGGGAATAATGGGGTGGCACACAGGAAATACACAGAGCTAGCTCTGGGGCCATGGAGCACTTCTTTCCTTTCGCCAGGACTCGGGTGGGCTGTTTTCATCTATTCCCACAGCAGCCTGTGAGGGAGACTTTATTGGTACAAGTAAGGTCTAGAAGTAAAGGGACCTGCCCATCCACACAGCTTCAGAAAATTGGGAAGTAGGTCCAAGCCCAGGTCTATTAGGCCCCAGAGCCCCCTGGGAAGAGCCCAGCCGCCAAAGACGTTTCCTTCCATCCAGGCTGACTCATCTCTCTACTTGGGTTTCAGACTGCCTTGGCCTAGAAAAACAGGCTCTTCTCCGAGAGTCATCAAGCAGGCGGCTTTGGGCTTGGAACCTTTCTAGGAAGCTCGTGGTGTGGCCCTCCCACAACAGCTGGGGTAAAAGGGACAGTGGCCCTTGCCAAGAGGACCTAGGGGAGCACCAAGGAGGAGGGATGTGTTTTCCCTAAGTGCACTGGCCTGTGCTTACTGGCTGAGCATGGCAACTGGGGAACAGTGGTAAGCTGTCCAATGAAGGGCATTGTACACCTCCTTCTAGAATAGTCTCCAGGACAGGGTATGTGGCTGAGTGGATTTCCCCAGGAGCTGCTTCCAAGAGGCTCTGAGAGCCCTTCAGCTACTTCACGGAATTCTGCAGGCAAAGGGCTTAGCACAAACAAAGGCCAGTCTGTCTTCCACATTCCCAGTGGAAACATGGGCTCCAGCTCTTACCCAAGATGCCCTGTAGAAACCTGCCTGGTGGCCTGTAGGACAGAGCCTAAGAACGTAGACAAAGGGTCTCAGCAAGGATCATGTACATGTTGGGATGCAAACACCCCGGCTGTTAGCTTCCCATGTCACAGGACTGTAAGGTTTCACACAACAGCACTAACTTTCTGTGCTGGCCACTGTGGCCACAGATACATCCTGTGGTCTCTGAGGCTTGGGATGCTGGGAGGATTGCTTGAGCTGGGGCGACCCTGCGTCCGCCATTTCTTTGCTGTGTGAACCTCTTGCTAAACTCCTATTGAGGGGGAAAATGGCAAAGCCTGACTCTCTGGATCTGACTAGGTAGGACGATGGGCACCAGGGGCACAGAGCCCCAAGCTTGCCAGAGGTAGCTGCCAATAGCCTCTCCTCCTCTGCCAGCTGGCATGCCTAGGAGAGCCTAGGAAAGACGCTGTCTCTGACATGGTTGATAACCGGCCCTGGAGCACATGCAATCATTACTCTAGATCCTGCCAGCAGGACGCCCAACCTTCTGCCTGTGGTGGCTGCTCTGCCCCTGAGATACCCAGCGTCCTTCCCACAGGAAAGCTTGGTAATGCTTGCCTGCCTTGCCACCACCACCCACGTTGGCAGTGTGGCATACAGCTCCCCAGGAGTCCCAGTCCCCCCCAGCTGGTCCTGACAGGAGGGCAAGGGCGTTGAGGGTGGCAGGGCGATGTGCGTCAGCAGGGGTTGCTTTGAGTGAGTCACACTTCAGCTATGGCCCCTGGGCTACCACAGTGTTCTGCTTTTCTAGGAATTGGTATGCAACTTGCCTACCCAAGAGGAACGAGGAAGAAGAAACCCACAGCCAGCCTCACATAACCCCAAGGACAACTTCAGATTTCAGCCCTTGCTTCTTCCCATTCCCTTCCCTGGGGGCTCACGTCCATCTGTCTGCATTCCACTACTTAGCACAAGAGCCTGGCAGGGTGGGTAGGAAAGGGCTGGCATGCCAAAGATGAACTGGGAATATGAGGGGCTTCCCATGCTGTGTCTCCTCATGCCTTTCCTGAGTGTCTTGGTACTCAAGTGAAAGGTAGCTCAAATCTGTCTAAGAGGTACAGTGCCCTGCAACCCAAAGTCACGTGAGACCTGCCATAGCTATGCCAAGGACTCCAGAGGTTCACCTTCAGAACATGCAGCACTGGGTGCCAGGAGGAAGGAGGGGAGCAAATCCACCAGTGGAAAAAAGAGGCCATGCACACTAGTGCAGTTAACAGATAGGAGCCCCACTGAGTGTTTCCATGATGACCCTCAAGATGCTCAGAGAGCCAGCAAACCAACAAGCAACTGTTAAGAAGAGCCTGGCTGGTTGGGACACAGGTTCTTCAATGTCCCACAAAAGGTCTAGGACAAAGAGGACCCAAGTTATCCTCTTTATTATAGTTTTTTAAACACAGGGTCGTCCTTGATTATTTATATAGCCCACACTGACCTCAAATGTGTGATGCCCTTGCTTCTGGCTTCTGAGTGCTAGGAACCAGGCCTAAGTCCTTACATTGGTGTGCTAAGATAATACACTCTTCACAACTTTGGGTCAAAGTGCCCAGTGCCCTCCAACTCCTGCCTTCCTCTCCTGAGTCCCAGCCAAGCCTGGGGAACTGCAAGGTCCTCAGTCTCATCTGAGGGCTAGGAGCTCCTGGCCTCTTCTCCTGCCTCACTCATAGGAACCTCAGGCCCTCTCAGAATTGACACTGGGGGTGTGTTTAGGAAGCACCAACCCCCACCTGGCGATTTTACAGCTCTTTGTAGGAAGGTAGGATCACTCGACTCTACAGAATAGAAACAAGTTCTGAGTGTTGGTAACTGGACACATGGATGAATTCACTTAGCACGTAAAACGAAGCAGCAGTCTCCAAATAAGAGGCAGCGCAGGGTGGGCTCTGAGCCAGGTCCGACCCCCACATCCTGCCCCTTCATCTTCCCTGACTCCTCACTTAGCCAGATGGGGTGAAAGCAGCCTTGGAATTTCCTGTTTCCTTCCCTCCCCTCTGCAGAGTGCGACACTGGGTTCTCTCAGGCTGGCAAACCTTTGCTCATCCTTCCTAATCAGCCAGCTCCCGACATTGTCCTCAGTATGTGATGTGACATTTGGTTTTTGGCCAGCACCCTATCATCAGATGGCAAGCTACCTGGGATAGGTGCTGCACCCCAGAAACAAGTCTGCAATCCCCACACCAGGGAGCCGCTGTTGCACAGCACCACCCATGGTGTGCCAGGCTGCAGCTGTGAAGACCGGCCCCGGCCTCTCCTGGGTGGCCTACCTCCCTACAGCTTCTTTTCCCGTGACCACAGAGACTTTGGCTACTGTACAAGGACAGTGGGGGGGGGGCTCCTGGACTGACCACATCACGGAACAAATCACTACCATGACACTTGTGCTATGTACTGCTGCCATTTCTGCCCTCTAACCTACCAGGAGGGGAAGGGAGGGGGCGGCTCAGAGAAGCAGGTGAGGCGGTACCTCTTCTCAATGCTGCCTGCCTTTCCAGGACCGTGGCAGCCCAGAGTAGTTCTTCCTCCCCTAATCATGGCTGAAGTGCCCAAGAGAGCAATGTGTTGGACGTCCCGCATCCGCTCCAGGACCCAGGCAGCTCCGTTCCAATGGGAGTGCCAGTGCTTCTTCCTTTCCATGACTCTCAGCCCCTGGTATCCCCCCAGAGTGCCAGACTGTTCTGAGTCAGAATCCCACAGACACTGTAGAGGACTGGGGGCTGCAGCATGTAGCTCAGCTTGATGGCTGTGCAGAGGAAGAACGGACACTTACCTTTTATTGAGCACCATGTTCCCAAGCTTCAGGTCTCTGTGCACGATGTTTTTCTGAAAATCAAGGAGGGGATGGTTTGCATCAGAAAGTGAGGAGTGGGGTGGGATCCACTTTGGAAGATGGAGGCTCATCGACCAGGATCTGGGAAGGCAGGAACGCCCTAGGACCTGTCTCTTAGGCCTCATCAAGCATGCACCTGAGGTGGGTTAGAAGTGGCCTGCCAGTCCCCTCAGCTACTTCTCACTCCAGAGCAGCAGATTATGGGAAAGCCTCTTCTCTCTCACCCCATCAACTACCCCATCAACCACCCCATGGAGACAAGCTGCAGCCTGGAGGTGGGGGCAAGGAGCCAGTGCCTCCCTTCTGTAACTGTCTGTTACAGCTATCCCCGGGCCGGGAGGCTGTAATTTAGCCTCTTGAGTGAGTGGAAATTACTGCACAGGGCTCTGCCGGGCTGTCTTGCCCAGGGCAGCAGGCACTCTTTCCTTGGACACTCCCGGCCGCAAAGCACAGGTAAGGTTGGGAGCAAGCATCTTTCTGCTGAGTTGAAGCCCAGAAAGATGCTTTTCTGTGGCACATGGGGCCCTGGGTCTCACCTGGTGCAGGGCTTCCACCACTCGGACCACATCGTAGAAAATGACCACGGTCTCCCGCTCGCTGAGCCTCTTCTCCTTGATGACATAGTGCTGCAGGTTGATGAGGTCAGCAGTCTTGTCGCTGAAGTCGTGTGCACAGAGGCAGTCAAGGACGAGGCAGATACGTTTCTTCATCTTCTTCACCATCCGACCGGACTCTGTGTCCTCAACTGCTTCACAGGTGCGGTCCTGGGAGGGAAGGAGACAGGCCGGGCAGGGCCAGGGGGTTAAGACTAGACCTCTGGAGGTCTAGTCGCGGAAGTGGCTGAATGTCTGCTACCCTGGTGAGCTACGCACACATGTGGCTACTCAAACCACTGAAACAAGAGCAGGAGCCAGTGATTGGGAGACTGAGATCTAGACAGCCGACTGGGTAGGGCTCAGCTTCCTGTAGGCCAAGCAATAAGCCCAGCATGCTCAAGTTCAACACCTTAGGTGAAGGCTTCACCATCCGTCAAGGGCTAGCCAGCTGGCCCTGTCAGCCCACTGCAGCAGCAGTCAGTCTGCTGTAGTCCCGGATACTAGCTATCACTTTCATCCATGTCCACGACTGCGGATGTTTTTGTTTCTCACTTGTTGAAGACAGAGTCTCACTATGTGGTTGTGACTGGCCTGGTACTTGATATCTGTGAGTTCAAGGCCAGCCTGGTCTACAGAATGAGTTCTAAGACAGTTTCCAAAGCTACACAGAGAAACACTGTCTCAAAAAAACCAAAACAAACAAAACAAAACAAAAGACTCCATAATGAGATCCTGTCTCAAAAAAAAAAAAAAGGAGGGAGGGAACTGCTTTTTGCCTGTTTTACCCTCACTCTCACTGGCAAGTCCATCTACCCTGCTACTGCAGTATCCCTTCACCAGTATTAGACCTAACTTTGGGCTTCCAACACAAACTGAAGACCTGCTAGCAGCTCTCCTTCAGGCCTTCAGCACCAGACTGGGACTGCTGAAGTATCCAGCCTTGTGGAGTGAACTACTAGATTCCCTCCCTTCCTGTCCTTAGGCAGCCACTGTTAGGCTACCTGGACCCACAGCCTGGGAGCCAGTCCGTAAATCCCCTATGTTCTGTTGCTTTAGAGGACCCTATCTGTCTAAGATAATGGCTCTCTGAATGGCTACAGGACTGCTGGGCAGTCACATAAACGGTAAGGGATACGTTGCTGGCCTCATAACCACAACTCATTAAGTCTAGCTCCTCATGCATAAAGGGGAGCTAGCAATCCCTCCCTCCTTGATGTCAAGCCAACTGTGGCATGCAGCAGTCAGGGGTCAGTTACCAACACTGAGCCTGCAGCCCTAGTCACTCTCCTTACTCCAAGTGCGACAAAAACAGGTACAACTTTATGCTGGGATCTTGCTGGCCAGAGAAGGTCTGGTCATTGCCAACAGATAGCCAAAGCCCTCTGGGGGAATTCCTGGAGGACAAAACAGCCAGATTTCTCCTTAAAAGCAGGATTAGACCAGTGCTTTACTTGCTTTAGGGTCTAGGCCCTGTGTTCAACACACAGATGACTGCTCAAGGTACTCTTAGTCACCTCTGTTCTGTCATCCAAAAGAATACAAATGAAGGACAAGCATGTAAAGATACCAAAATTGCACATAAAAATATCAGAATCAGGATACTAAAATAAACTTCATTTCCATTTAAGGAAAATGCTCCAATTTTGGAGTTGCCTCTAATGGTAAGTCTAAGAATAAGACCTTGACAGGTGTGGACGTGGGTGGGTGTCTTATTGTTATCCCCAGGCTAGGAAGCTGCAGCTCGGCCTCATTAGCATTTTCCACTTGCTTTATTGGTCAGGGATCAAACTGACAGAGAAACAGTAGTGATGATAAACAGGTGTCACAAGGGCCAGCACTGGGAACCCGCCTGTTCACTACTGTGCATCTGCCTTGCCTACCAGCCTGAGGGCAGGTGCCACTAGATTCTCTCCATTCTATAGAACATGGGTCTAGGGCTCAGAGACCTGAAATGACTTGCCTGAGGTCACAAAGAAGATGCTCAAGGACATCTGCAGAACAACCTGAAATGCCTAGGCAGGCAGGACTGGGGTATAGTCCTACGGTGAGAGCTGACCACAGGTAACCCTAACTCTTGTTCTGCCTTTCAGTCTAGTCTGCCAATCTAGACAATAGCTGGAAAGAGCACGGAGTCCCTCTTCTCCCTCAGAAAAGCAGCTCTTCCAAGCAAGCCTGGCCGCTCTAAGTTGTCCTTTGTGACCAATCCAGGTAGGCTGAATCACCATGGGATAGGATACTGTAGCAGCCAGCATGGCCCTAGCCCAATTCCAAATCCCCCTGGTCAGGTCCTGACAGCCAGCAGGGAAGGAATACTTAAGTCACCTGTTGGAAGCTGCTCACAGAGAAGATGCAGCAGAGCAAGCAGTGTGGGGCCACTCACCTGGAAGAGCCCATGGTGGTGGACCACACCGTCCTGTGTGTGCAGCAGGGAGAGCAGCGAGTACTCGGTGTGCAGCAGCATCTTGCCCTGCCTTTCCTCTTGGCTCTCTATTCCTTGCTCCCCTCTCTCCTCAAGGGTGAGGATCTTTAGGGAAGCACAAAAAGAAAAAGAGCAAATGACTTTACCTGGAGAACAGCAGGGCAGGGGAAGCAGGCAGCGTGATGCCTGCACGGCTGGCAGCTGCTTTTCTTGACAGCCTGTAATTCACACAGCCCTTTAATCAGGAGCTGAGTGAGACTGTGAACTTGAGTTGTTTCTCGGGAAGAAATGGGGCTACTCGCGCTCACAGGTGATGCAGGGTGAAAGCGAAGAGGAGGGGCAGCTGCTAGGACAGCCCTGGTTCTGCGGGTCCCAGCCTATGCTTGCTTACCTTCAATTGATAGAAGTCATCCGTGCCGTCTTTCCTTGCCAAACACTGCACAATGCTTGGTACCGGTGAGTTGCCCAGACGGGGACCTACGGCATAAAGCCATGAGCGTATTTTCCAGAACATTAACACCACAGCCTTCTCGATAGATGTTCTCTTTATACCTACTGGGCTGCCCCAAAAGTCTTTAGTGGAGAGTTGTACGACTTACAAAGAAGAGAAGGATGTGTGTGCACCTGTCTGACACATTCCTCAGAAAGGGTTCCAGTGTCTGGTGTGCTGCACAACTGTGACCCCAGCACTCAGGAAGTTCATGCACAAAGATGGACAGCTCGAGGCCAGCCTGAGCTAGACAGTAAGGCCTTTCCTGTCATCACTATTCACAAACCCTCCTCACATGTGCCCCCATCTTGTTTTATCTCCTTTGAGTAATCATTTGAAGTCTTTTTCCCCAAACATATTAAATTTTGTGAGGATAGAGTGGCTCTCTTCATCACGATTTACCTCTCCACCCCTGCAAACAGCATAAGGTTATTTGCTGGCAGCAGGTACCATTAGGAGCTATTTCTGGGTGTCTGAAGTTGGGAGTAGGCAGTGTGTATAAGTCTTAAAGGCTGTCCTAGAGCACAAGACCCACCAGCCCCTGGGGCCACAGCGTACACCACCTGCAGCCCTGACCAACACAGGCTGAGCTGGCTGAGCCTCAGACACCACGCAGAATGCCCTGATGCTCCTCAGCCTATGGAAAATGTTCAGTTTCACAGGGTTTCCATAGTGTTCTATAGGAAGTTCAGGGCCAATCATGTTAGCACACACCTTTAATTCTAGCACTTGGGAGGTAGAGGCAGGGGCAGAGACAGGCAGAGCTCTGTTAGTTCAAGGCCAGTCTAGTCTACAAAGAAAGAGATCCTGTCTCAAAGCAGCCCTCCCCAAAACTAAATAAATATAAGAAGTTTAGGGAAATTCTATTGAAAAACACTAAAATCAACCATGTCATTCAAGAAAGTCAAATAGTGCCTTAGATGTTTTGACACGCTGGGGTTCTTATCCCAGAGGAGGAGGTGAGAGCCTGGCTCTTGATCCAAAGCTGATGTGGTGACAAAAATTGACAACCGCTGCCATGAAGTGACCTCAGCCCTGGGTTTTCCATTGGTCAGTTAGGGTCCTGTGCAGCTGTGGTGGGTACCTCTCTGTTGCCCACAGGTCAGAATAAGAGCCCTTGTGCCTGGCCACACCCACTCCCCCAGGGCAGACACTTACCCAGGATGAAAGGCCCTGCTCTCTTGGCATTATTTCCAGCAATGCCACTCCCTAGAGCCTTGGCCTTGGCCGACGTTTCCCCAGCTCCTCTGTCTGATGCTCTCCGCTTCATTCTCAGTTCTAAACAAGACAGAAAAGAGCCTTCCATTGAGTAAACCAAGTACTTTCCTTACATGAACCCAGCCAGGAGCCTAGCTGGAGCATGTGTTATACACTGCTGCCACCACCTTCTCCCCACCAGGAGGAGCATCCAGGTCCTGAAGACAAAAGAACCACATTTACACCCATGGCAGATGTCACTGAAGGCAGCAGCCACAAATCATAGAGGGGGTAAGGGTGGGGTCACCTGCTGCAAAGGGGCCAGAGGATGAGAGGAGGGCAGGACTGTGTGGATGCTGAAGACAAACCTCTATACAGACAGCCCAGGCACCAAAGCCCAGCCCTGAGCAGCTGTTCTCAAAGTGCCCCCCCCAATGCTCATAGCCAAAAGACCTGTGGTAAACCCCCGCTCGCCAGGTCATCTCCAAGCAGTGATGGGCTGGGGGACCCTGTTATACATGATGCTTAGTACTTCTCACCCACAAAGTCTGAGGAGTACTAGCCTCTAGTTTGTTATGTAGTCAAGAATGATCTTTAATTTCTCTTACTTTTAATTAATGAACTATCCATCATGACCACTTGAAAGTATTAAATACAAGATAAACTTTTTTTTTTAATGGATACTAACTTTCTGGTGTTTTTAACTTTCAATACAGGGTTTCTGTGTCGTCCTGGCTGTCCTGGAATTAACTTACCCCGTAGTTAAACCCTGTAGACCAGGCTGGCCTCGAACTCAGATCTGCCTGCCTTTGCTTCCTGAGTGCTGGGATTAAAGGTGTGTGCCACCACCGCCCAGTATAATGAATACTGACTTAAAAAAATATTATTTATTATGTATACAGTGTTCGGCCTACGTGTATGCCTGCAAGCCAGAAGAGGGCACCAGATCTTATTATAGATGGTTGTGAGCCACCATGTGGTTGCTGGGATTGAACTCAGAACCAGTGCTCTTAATCTCTGAGCCATCTCTCCAGCCCCATAAATACTAATTTTTAATTTGTCCTCCGTAAGAGTAGCAAGTGTTCTCAACCACTGAGCCATCTCTTTAGCTCCAAGATACTACCCAGAAAGCGGGGAGGGGGGGTAAGAAATGAGGGAGGGTCATTGTCCCTGCTAATCAATGGTGTAATGGTGTTGCAGCTTTCCTGATAACCTATCCATCCCTTCTAGGACTTCGGTACAAGGCAAATATAGGGCGTCAATTCTGGAAGACATCAGCCTCATGACATAGATAACAGAAACATTAAGCTCAGGTGGAGGGAAAAGGCAGAGATCAATGCAGGCTAAAGCTCAAGGAAAAATTAATAGGGGTGGGCTGAGAAAGTATCATAAACAGTCTTGGAGAGGGGACCATGAAAGTAAATGTACAGTGGCCATAAGCAACAAGTTCCTGAGAGTCTGTTGTGTGGATGTAGGGGATGGGGAGGGAAGGAAGTCAGGTGAGGGGACTAGAGGCTTATTAGGACTGCAGCCTTGGCTATTCCTTACAAGGCTGAGAGAGATACAAAATACCAAACTTCTCTTGTGATTTCTTTTTCCATATGGAAGTAATTGGCATTCCCTGCACCAACACTGAAAACTAAGGAAGCTAACCTAACCACCTAGATGCCTGCTCTCCAGACAGGCCTTTGTGTCTCCCGGGTTTTCAGTATCATACAAAATAGTATAAATCACTGTAAAAATAAGGACCGTACTCTTGATGCCATTTTGCAGTTTCTCCCTACCTCAGGTAAAATTTTATAGTTTGTGAAATATATCCTATTAAAGCTGTAAAAAAAAAAAAAAAAAAAAAAAAAAAAGGAGGGGGGGAGACTAGGTTTGGTACATGTCTTTTTTTTGTTTTTGTTTTTGTAGATAGGGTTTCTCTTGTGTTGCTTTGGAGGCTGTCCTGGAATTTGCTCTGTAGACCAGGCTGGCCTTGTACTCAGAGAGCTCCGCCTGCCTGCCCAGTTGGTGCATGTCTTTAATCCCAGAATTTAGAAGGCAGAGGCAGGCAGATTTGTGAGTTCAAGGTGAGCCTGGTCTATACAGAGAGCTCAGAAAAAACTGTCTCAAAAGAAAACAAAACAGAGCCCTTACTTAGAGTGTCCAAGGCCTTGGGCTCCACCTTCATCACAGAAAAAAATAAAATAGGTTTGTGCACGATAAAAGCACCCTGACAATCTTCTCCAGTGGCATCCGGGGAGAGTCGGTTTCTCTCCTACTTCATGAACACCCACTTCCTTTCATTTTTCTTTTATGGTCACACATGTGCCTGTGTATTCTGGATCTTTCTTTTTTCTTTAGAGTTTAAACTCAAGGCAGACAAACTGTAAATATCAGCAGCTATGCAGGGGAGGGAATAGAACAGGGAAGGAACAACACCATGCTATGTCAGCGCATGGAGGCCAGCCACATTGCAAGCAGCCACCTGGTAGGATGGGGAATGTGAGAGACTAAGAAAAGCAAACCTAGGTTCTGGCCAGCACCAGAAAGAAAGGGACAAAGAAATACTTATTCCTTTCTGAGTCAGGGCTCAGAAAGGTGGATAGACCTCTTGGCATTCTGTTCTCTCTCTGGGGATAAATGCCAAGAAGCAAGACCGCAGAGACAAATGGGCAAAGAACTTTATTTTTATAATTTTCCTTAATTTTTTCAAACAGTCTCACTCTAGCTCACTCAGTGAGCTTCCTAATGCTGTGACCCTTTAATAATTATGTTGGGTGACATCCAACCACAAAAGTATTCTTGTTGCTACCTTTAACTGTATTTTTGCTACTGTTATGAATTGTAATGCAAAAATCTGTGTTTTCCAATGGTCTTAGGAGACTCCTTGAAAAATGGTAATTCAACCACAGGTTGAAACCCACTGTGTCTAGCCCATGGTGTCTAGCCCTGGCAGTGTGAACATTTTTACAAAGTGTTTGACACACAGTGGCAAGCTGTTCCCAGGAAGGCTATGGCAACTGACAACAGTGTCACTAGCCAGTCACATGGGGAAGGGGACCACAGGTCCTGATCCCGCACCAGGACTGCTTCCTTATCCTGGCAAGCAACCCGTTCCATAAGGGATTATTACTTTTTGAAAATTATTTTTATTTTATATGCATAAGTGTTTTGCCTTCATGTATGTCCATGTGAGGATGTCATGTCCCCTACAGCTGGAGTTACAGACAGTTGTGAGCAACCATGTGGGTGCTGGGAATTGAAGCCAGGTCCTCTGGAAGAGCAGTCAGTGCTCTTAACTACTGAGCCATCTCTCTAGCCCTGATATTATTACTTTTAAAGTCATAATTCTTTTTCTTTTTCTTTTTCATTCTCTCTCTCTCTCTCTCTCTCGTTTTGTGTTGTTTTTGAAGCAAGGTTTCTCTGTGTAGCTGTAGCAGGTCATACTTCCTTTATGTCTGAGGCTGAGCTTGCTCTACATGCTTGCTGGTTATATGTATTCTCTCTTTTTTAAATTTCCTTTATTCTGTTCTCCATTTTAAAAAAGATTACACTTTTTATTTATAGGAGTGTGTGTGTAGGTATGTACACATCGTAGCAGACAAGGCACTGTGGGAAAAAGCTTTCTTCATCATGTGAGTCTCAGGGACTGAACTCAGCTCATCCATCCTCCATTTTTTATTTCCATGTAAATGAAAGTGTAGCTGTTTAAACTGTTATCCAGTAAAATAGCTGTCTGTTCCCTTAGCCTTTGCTGGTATCCTGGAAAGCTTCCTCATGTAGAGGGTCACAAGTCCAATCACTAGGGACTTCTAACATCCAACAGAAGGAGTGGGAGCCATGGCTATGAACTCTGCCAAACAAGTTCATGCTGAAAGCAGAGTGGCATGAAATAGCTTTAGAAACACTGTCCCTGCTCTTTGCTTGGCTAACTTCTTGGCATCATCAATATACACATAACTTCCTCAGAGAAACCAAGCTTGACAGCTCATTGCCAATAGCTCTCACCTGTTCTCACACTCACGGTGTCCTGTGATATCATCTATGTACTTCCCCCAAAGTTTTTTAAATAATGTATTTGTATGTCTATGTTTATTGTCACCACCACTAGAAAAAGAACACGAAAACACACACACACACACACACACACACACACACACACACACACACACACACACACACACACCACTGCACTTTGGTAACACAGTTGGTGACAGTTCTTGCCAGGGCTAGCAACCTGGTAGCAATTGGTACCACTAGGTTGATCCTGTTCTCCTCTAGGGTTCTGGGCCTACTCTTCCTTCCCAGTTCCCCAGAGAGCGCCAGGCAGGCATATCACATCTGTGAAGATGCTGCTTTTTCGCCTACACACAGTCTAGACGCCAGTTTGCCGGGAGCAGCTGTGGCCCCAGACAATGAGTGGGCTCAGCCTGACCCCTCCTACCCCACTCAGGATTCAACTCAAGCAAATGGCATGGGAAAAGCTCCAAGATGCTGGCAGACAGAAGGATGGGAGCAGATGGGCAGGGAGAGGAAAAGATGCAGGCGGGGAAGAGGTACCCAGGCTGCCCTCCTTCCTGAGCATCATTTTCTTGTACCCAGAGCTGACTGAAGCAAAGGAATCACAGTGAAGAGACAGGACTTGCAGACACAGACCCCTTGTCCCTACTCCTGCAGACAGCAGGTACTCACTCAGGGAGGCTCTGCCCTGCCCTCAAGCCACCCTGATAAGGAATGCTTCCAAGTGTATCTCTAAATGGTTCACAAAAAATGCCTGTTTGAGGGCTCTTGCACCTGTGGTGAGGCAGTAACAGTTTTGGCTACTATGGTCTCGAAACAACTTAGGCATCGCCCTCCCAGACAGCTGCCCTCAGCCTGGGGTGGAGGCTCCCCCAACCCCTCTGATTTTGGTTAACATTTCCCAGGTTGAGGTCTCAGCAGCCCAGAAGGAACTCAGCAGTCTCGGCTTTCAATTTGTCAATTTTCCTATGTTCTATTCACACAAGTCGGTGCCAAACCCCTTAGAACCTCTACAGAAAGCTTGGTGAAGTAAAAATGGGAGTTATAGGGTACCTGGGAGGGGATGTCACCTTAAA